GCCTAACTAACCTATTCACCCTGGATCCCGCCAAAACTTTGCGCCCATTCTGCACATGTCGTGTTACGATCCTAGAGTTTTACTGCTGGCCGCAGTGCGCATGCGCAAGAAAGCGTCCCTGATAGCAACACTGCTCGGTGCTCCGAGCGACAACATCGGGCAGCGGGTACCTCCGCTGCAGGTATAAGCCGGAGTTGAATGGGTGCTCCTGTCTTCGGCTATATACCAGTCCGGAGCACACAGCGGAGGCTCTACTCCGTCGTGGGCCCCGTCCCGCAGTAGCGTACGCCTAACGGGGTGCTCCTCGGCGTACACATGCTACAAATCTTTCCCGTACCGGTCTCCTGATTCCGTCCTGACTCCGTTTCCTCCGTGACAGCGGGTACCGCCGTGGTTTGCGGGGAGGGAGTGATTCCGCAGTAGCGTACACCTAACGGGTGCTCCTCGGTGTACAATCACTACTGACCTACACGCATAACGAGGCGCTGCTCGGGCGTGTTCCTGTCCTGACCTGATCCTTTTCCTGATCCTTGACCGGTGTAGAACTCAGGGGGGTAATATTCGGGTGGGAAGAGAGATTCCTGATTATTTTAGTACTAAGCTCCGTAGCGTTAATCCCGTCATTTTTCTTCCTTCCAGAGCCGGGAAGATCCTGTAACTAACGTCCTCCCCGACCGTTCCGGCGTTAGCAGTGTTTACCGATAGCTTATTCCGATCCATTTGCGTATTACCGTATATCACTTTCCTGTATCTTCTATTTTTCCGATCCAACGACATACTGTATTCATTTCCGATCACTCCGATTTACCGCGTTATCTTGTATCCTGTGTTCCGATCCGACCGCGTACTCCGGTACATTATATAATCCCGTTAATTATAATCCTTTTGTTTCCATTGTATTTAATCACAAGGCGGACCTATTGTACCGACTAATCCTTTTTTCTTTCCACTGTATTTAATCACAGGGCGGACCTTATGTAATCACCTCAATTCCATTGTATTTATCCACTAATAAACCTTGTTCCTATCGTGTTCTACCAACTTAGACATTTGTACGATTTATTCCCGATCCTTCCAAGCGATTACCTCACCCAGCAAATTAAGATCTACGCCTCCTTTCCTCCAGACGGCCCTGGAGCTGAGCATATTCGGCACATAGGAGGAACGGAGGATTTATTTAAACCGCCACACAGCACGTCAAACACCGACCGAACGAACGCTAGCTCTTCCGACCGATTAATCAGAACCGCGTGTCTGATATTTCTTTCCGCGAAATAATAACGAATTTCGGAGTCCCGTCCGGAATTCCAGAACCCGAGAGCAAGCGAAGAGCATTCGTTACAAATCGATTTTTTTAAATAAAAAGAATCGATTCTCGATGCATCGATTAAGAATCAGGCATCACTACTCTTCGGGCGTTGCCATACCCACAGTTCGATTGACTGAGCGGTTCACCAAATAACTTGCGTGGTGAATCGCCTCCGCCCAAAATTCGTTGCCAAGTCTTGCGTCGGCCAACATGCAGCGGGCTCGTTCGACCAACGACCGGTTCATCCTTTCAGCCACCCCGTTGAGCTGAGGTGTGTACGGCGGTGTTTTCTCATGCACGATTCCAGCATCCGTACAAATCTTATTCATCGCCTTGTTGACAAACTCGGTACCATTATCGTTTCGGATTCGCTTAACCTTGCGTCCGGTCTGGTTTTCCGCCATCTGCTTGAATGCTTGGAAGACCTCCGCCACCGCTGACTTCTCGACCAAAAATGACACGAAAACTTTTTTTGAAAAATCGTCAATGATACCCATGAAATATCGCGCTCCACCGAGCGATTTCGTTTCCATCGGCCCGCACAAGTCCAAGTGCAGCAAATCCAAGACATCATTCGTGTTGATAACCGCGTTTGACTTTACAAAAGCTCTGCGCGATTGCTTACCTTCGGCGCAGCTCAAACATCCACTCAGCATCTCTCTCGTTCCGTTGAAATCAACTCCGTCGCCAGCTGTTTTGAGTTTGCGCATACCGTTGTAGCCGAGATGACCCAAGCGCCGATGCCAATATATGATGTTATCATCGGTTTTCGTTAACAAACATCGAATCTGTTTCGCCTCAATTTTGTAGATACCTTCGTACTTCTTTGCATTTACAAGTAGTTCGCCGCTTTGATTGTATACGTTGCAGCCGTTCGGTCCGAATTCGACAACGTTGCCGGATTTTATCATTTCTCCGACCGATAGCAGATTCGCGTTAAGTCCGGGCGCATACAGAACATTTCGGATGGCTATCTCGACGCCATCAATGTTGACATAAACCGTTCCGCTGCCGATTACCTTCACGCACTCGTTGTTTGCAGTTGAAATGTCGGGTCCATTTGCTTCGGTGAACTCTGTGAGGATTTCGCGATGGGGGGTCAGATGTCGAGATGCGCCAGAGTCGATGTACCAGCCACTCATTGATGATTCAGTCGTCGCGCCGAAAGCGTTTGCGAATTTGGTTTGTGTTGGCTTGCTGCCACTCTGATCCCCAACTTGTTGCGGATCGCTTCGGTCTTCACGATTCGGGCAATCTCTTGCGTAATGCCCCGTCTTGCAATTAAAACATTTGACCGGTCGCTTGGGGTCCTTCCTCGCCGAAGATGCATGTGCGGCCCTGCCGCTACTGCCAAGAAAGGCCGTCTCAGCAGATTTGCTCGCCGTTGGAACCAGACTCAACAACGACGATTTCACGTTGTCGACCGTCACCGGTTGTCCACTCGCTGTCAATGCCATGATGAACGGTTGGTATTCGGGGCCAAGCTTGCCCAACAACAATAATGCGACAACTCGATCGGCCAAGATTACCTTCGCATCGGTGCAACGCTGCCACGCTTCCATCGTGCGTCCGATGTAATCATCCATTGACGGGCAGTCGCTCAGCCTGATTCCCGTTAGATCCATCAGAGCCGTTACTTCTTGTTGTGTCCGTGTGGATATCGGGAGAAGGTAGTTCCCGGTAGATAGGACACTGCGTGGGTGGTGGTAAGTGCGCGATGAATATGAGGTGAGTATACACTGTATTTATTGGATATACAGAAGGAGGTTCTGTTTCGGGAGACACGTCCGTACCGTTAAGGCCCGGTCTACAATGAGTCGTTAGTCGTTAGTCAGAAGTCGCAACTATATGTTGATCCTTTTCCTTTCTGGGTGGAAGAAAAAGGACCGACATACAGTTCCGACTTCTGACTAACGACTAACAATTCATTGTAGACCGGGCCTAAGTGTCCCGACGCTATCTGTGGCTATCTGTTCGTGCAAGCACGAACAGGGACGACGGTTGGCGCGTACGCAGCGCCGCAATAGACTTGCGCAGCAAGTCACGTGGCTCACGGGACAGCGAATCCGCGTGAGCCTCTTAGGCTTACGTTCAGCGCATGGTAACATGGCCATGCGCCTACAGTCTACACTATCAGAACTCTCACACAACACTTCTCTATCGATGCGGGCATCGATGGAAGCGTGGCAGCGTTTTTCAGCGAACAGTTTTTTGAGTGATTTCCACACTTCGAGTGGAGTTTTTTTTATCATCGATGTGGTTCGTCACGTTATTTTCGACGGCCAAGTACAGCCAACCCAGCGTCTCGTCGAGCTTGTCGGCGTCGGTCTCGGTTTCCGTCTCCGCGATGCATCGGGCCAATTTTTTTGTACGTAAAAAGGCCAGCATCGAACGTTGCCACTCATTGTAATTTTCGCGGCCTTTGAGCTTCGCGAAGTCGATGTTTTTAGCCATTTGTGATGCTTGAAGCCGGGCGTCTCATACAACCTAACCACACTTTTGGCGTTTCGTACAATTGCACAATTTCTGGGTAAAAACAAGCGAAAATACTCTCGCCTTTACAAAACGCACTGATTTTGGGTCGTTCCTGGGCCCATAACCTGTTGTTTATCGGGTAGATGGAATAAAGAAATCAGCGCGGAATGTAAGATGATGTTTATTCAATCATAAACGTAACTAGAGTGAGTCTACTGAAAAAAGGAAGTGACAGATGTCGCGACTGTGGATGTATTCGAAAATGGATTTAGTTACTGCCAGTGAAAACAGTATAGTTGGTAGCAATGAAAATTACTGGTGCTGCGTTTTTCGCACGCCAGTAAAGTCAGTAAGGCTGGGTCTACATTGGATGTCGTAAGTCGAATAATGAACTGTGATTGGTCAATTTCTTCCGACACGACTTACGACATCCAATGTAGACCCAGCCTTACTGACTTTACTGACGTGCGAAAAACGCAGCACCAGTAATTTTCATTGCTACCAAC